AAATTTTTAGAATTATTCAATATATTATGAGACCATTTTTAAATTTATGCATAAAAACATCAAAATAGACTCAAAATAGACTTAATAGACATCGCCTTAGAATATTGCTTAAATTTCAACGAATTTAAGTTAAATTCCTGAATAAAATTCAAAAAATATTTTCTTGCAAATAAAATTCCCCTGTGCCATAATGTGCCATAATATTTTTAAAAAAGAATGTTGGAAGATGAGTAAGCACTGATATTAGCTTGGAAGAAACTCAAAGAAAAGTAGGAAAAAAATATTTTTCGAGGAAGAGCAAAAAAGTATTTTCCTTCCCCTTTCCTTCGCCTTTTCTGCCCCTTGACATTGCCATTTCAATAACTCGGTAACAGATATAAGAAAAATGTATTTTGGCATTTTTACGTTTTTGACAAATGATGGGAGCTATAAGATAAGAAATGAAAGGGGAAAGGATTTTATATTTTAAACAATAAAAGTAAAATATTAAATGGTTATTTCTGGCAAAAATTATGCCAAAAATAAATTTAAGGGTATTAAATGAGTTAAAAATTGAAAGTAAATACATATTAAAGTGGGATTTAAAATGTCTAGGCAAAAAATTAAAAATCTGTCAAAAATGAAAGAAATTAATAAATTAAAAAATATTCGTTTGCCCTTAAAAAATTGTTATGGAAGTAAAAGATAAACTCGTAAATTTAAAGATATTAAGAGTTCGTTGAGATAGTAAATATGAGTCGGATTGAAAAAAATTTAGGCTGTGTTTCGGGTAAGGGTTTCAAAACCTTCTTCGGATCGGGCTACGAATTAGAAAAACAAATAGGAGCTCGGGACGGATTTTAAATATTTTCTTCGGATCGGTTACAGAGATGCTTCGAAATTTTTAGTCGTATTACTTTTAAGGTAATACGACCCATCCATTTTGTTGGGTCTATTAAAATCGTCTTTTGAGTTTTTTATCCAAAAATATTCTTTTTCAGAATTTTGCAATTTTAGATTAATAATTTTCTTTCCAAACACAAAATTTATTTAAAGCACAAAGTTTAATAAAAAAATATTTTCTGCAAAGCTACATATTTAATCGTCATTCAAAGAGAATACTTGAAAAAAATTTTCCAAATTTAAAGAAAAAGTAATTGATGTGCCAAAACAAAATTTTAAAGAGTGTTTAGAAGTGTTTAGAAGGCAAAGCTTTAAATAGAAAATGACGAAATTTGAAGAGAAAGAAAATATTGGTAAAAGGAATGTGTCAATTGCTTACACAAAAATAATAATGAAAAGTAAAAATAATTTTGCAAGGGACCTAAAAATATTTCTTTCGCAGAAACAAGAAATAAAAATATTGTGTTTGGAAATTTTTATTAAAAAAGCAACTAGATGCTGGAAATTTCAAAAAACGCAGAACTTAAAAACTCGGTCTTATCTCGGTCTTTCGGTCTAAACTCGGTCTTATAAAACGCAGTTTTACCAAAATACAGTCCATAATAAAACACAGTCCAGATAAAACACCGTGTTTTTTCATACGTGTTTTAGCCTGGCATTATCCATAAGTGTCGTATCAAAATTGTGATGTGAGGCCTAATTCATGACTTGAGAACTCTTTGCTTTGAATCAAAAATTTAGATCCGAGGCCGAAGTTTTATTATTTAGGTATTCAGTAGAGAGAATACTCTCAGTAATGCTAATTTTGGGCGTAGTGACAGAAGACCCACAGACAGAAGACCCGAGGACAGAAGACCCACAGACAGAAGACCCACGGACAAAAGACCCACAAGGAAAATTTTTTAATAAAAGTTTAAAAGAACAAGATTGGACAAAGTTACGATACAAAAATCAAACAACATAAACCTATGGGACGTCGGCGAGACGCTTGTGCAAAACCCCGCGCTTCGCGCGGGGTTTTGCGGCACGCGTCTCGCAGGGAATCAACGGTCGCTGGGTTATAGGCTCGTAAGTTAATCCTATTCCAAATATCGCAGTGATTGGCATGCCTGGCATCCTCCTCAACGGCAAAACATCCACGGAGACCATAGGTAAGGAGCCAATATGAAAGCACAATTGAATAAAAATAAGAAAAATGGTTGTGGGTCTTTTGTCCGTGGGTCTTCTGTCTGTGGGTTTTCTGTCCTTGGGTCTTCTGTCTGTGGGTCTTCTGCGTCGACACGCTAATTTTGAAAGTTTCAGTAAACCAAAAAGCCATATTTCTTCCTATTTTTTGCCCCGTAGATTACCAAAAAATCTTAAAATTCTGTTTTGTCAATTTCCCCATTTTAAAAAATATTTAAATTTATGCATAAAATTTTCTTCCAACATTTTTCTAAGAATTTAGTTTAGCAGCTTATGTGTTTAATAATAAATAGGAGTTGTTAGGATAGAAAAATGGTGGTTAGTGGGATTTATAAAGCAATTTCCTATTTCCTCTCTTAAAAAATAAAAAAAGAAAAGAAAATGTGCGCAGAGTAAAAAAACATTTTTTTCTATAAAAAACAAGTAAAAAAAATAAAAAAAAGTGCCAAAAGAATTTTCTTTTTTGCTAATCCAATTTGTGTCAAGAGGAAAATGTTAAAATTGGAATAGTTTCAAGTTAAATAAGGCATGGAAAATGTGAGAAAAAAGGAGTCGAATTTAAACGGGAAAATGTTGCAGAAATGTGAAGTTTTTTTTATAATTCTTTGAAAAATAAGAAAAAATTTAATAAATAAAAGAGTGGAGTTGATTTAAAATAAAATTGCAAAATTTAAATAAATTGGAATTATATGCATGTAAAACTTGCAGAATATAAGCAGATTTATGAATAATTTCCAAACTTTTATAGAAAAAAAAGAAAGATTTAAGGTTAGAATGTGTGGAAAAATTTTCTTAGAAAATAATGATACTATCGAATTCTCCCTACAATTTAAAAATCTTTATTTCCTCATTTTGAAAAATTACAAATGGTCTGGAATTTTTGGGAGAAAGTCGGAATTAATCCCGTACCAAATATCATAGGGTGAAACAATAATTATGAAAAAAAATTATTTAGGTTTAGATGCCTAAAATCATTTGTTTTGTCACTAATTTTAAAAATAAGAAATTGCCCTCTTTATTTCGGAAGCCAAATTTCTGTTACGACTTTATAATAATTTAATCATTGAAAATTATACGCATTGATCGCTGGTAAAAAACGAAATCATAAAAGAAAATAATGAAAATGTGGGAGAGATAATCCGATAGAACCAAAATAATTTTGAAAAAAAATTAAAAGAAGAATGAATATTGTTTTAATATTTTTCAAAAAAAATTCTAATTAATATTATTATTTAAATTCACCTTTTTGTCTTTTCATAACACGTATAGGCCTTAATAAATCATGCCCATTCAATGAAAGAATCCTTAAATCGCCGTGGAAACGAAACAAATGCTCTAAATTATCTAAAATAAATAAGAAAATATTTTAATAAAAAATATTATTATAAAAAATTTAAAAATTTACTTGCTATTTTAGCAGTTCCAATAGGTTGGGCAATAGCTATTTCATTGATAGAGAGAATTAAAGGTTTGTTTCCTATATTATTTAGTGATTCTGTCAGAAATTAATTAAAATTATTAATTTATTTTTAATAAAAACACTCACGATTATGCCATTTTCCATCCAATTTTAACGCCATTCGTTGCCCCCTTCTTATTAGCTTTAGCGAGTGCCAATGTATATTATTTGTAATGTTTGCAGAGCTCAGATTGAAAGTCTATAATTTAATTATTTTAATAAATACATACAAAAAATGTGAATTGATATCTCCATGACACCCCCTGTGTTAACATCATCCGCTGGCAAATCTCCAGAAACTGGCACCACAGCCTCGGCCGGATCCGAAACCAAAAATGGAAAGGGTTGGAGCTTGAGCCACTCCCGTTGGAGCAAAAAGGAGTCAATGGTCAAAAGGGGTCAATCACAACAACCAGCATGATCAGACGATCTACTTACTCCAGATAACAAATCCCTTCTCGATCAGATTATTATATTTTATCATTATGTTATTTTTTAATAAAATCAACCAACACTTTGCTCATTTCCTTGAAATACCCAATGTACTATTAATCCTCCACTCCCAGTAATCGCTATCAACAAACGTTGTTTATCTTCATCCTTCTCGTTAATAATATCAGATTTTGTGTCAATTAAAACAAAAAGTTTTTTCTGTTTATTTAATTCATTTAAGGTTGTTCCCAGCTTTGGACGAAATTTTATCTCCAAATTTTCCGCCTCCAACTGCCATGAATCAGAAAAATGAAATTTGGATGAGAGAGATTCTGGAAGGGGGAAAGGCAAAGGGCGAGGCTCTAAAAATTATTTAAAAATTTTGAATAATCTCTTCAAAACTTTGTTGGCAGCTAATTCCATCAAAAGGAGTGTCAGAACAATCACAGTGAAATGAATTGTGATATGAAGAACAAATACCCCCATTTTTACATGGATTCTTGCTGCCAGGCTTTTTACAAAAATCAACGGAGAAGGAGAAGGGGCAACCAAGTGAGATTGCTTAAAAATAATGTTAAAATAAAATTTTATATAATGGAGTCAGATAATGGAGCCCAGACTTGCACACGGATACGGATATGGATACAAATAATATCAAAATCCCTGCGGATATCCGTCTGTATCCGCCCGTATCCGCCGTAAATATCCGGATACGGATACCAAGATCAGTATCCGTGTGCAAGTCTGATGGAGCCTAAAATCATACAATCTTTCAAGCTTATCATATTTTTTCGATTAATTACGGCACTTTAATAAATTTTGGAGGTTTCCTATACGAAATTACGGTATATTCCCATAAGGGATTTTATGTGATCCAGTCCAGGGATTCCGAGTTTTACAAAATCTTCGAAGTCGAGTATGCAATGTTGTTGATCTCACGTGATTAATTACCCATCCTATTGTTAGGCTAAAGGAATAAGTACCAAGTGTAAGTACATATTTAAGAAAATGCGTTATTTTATTTGTGGGGAATAAGTATATTTTAATAATTACATTTATTTGTTTTTGATGAAAGACTTCTTTCAGTTGGCCTTTCCGTAGGTAATAATTTTGTTGACTGAAACATATGTGCAATCTCGATATTTATGCCATTTAAACGAATGTTCTTCATACAACCAAGAAAGCCTTGACGAAGATTTATTGTCCAAACCTTTAAAAATTTATGAAAATAAAGCTTTTACTTCACTACTGTTAAGGAAGTGTTGGGGTTATGCAAGAAGCTCGGGACAGAGTTAAAATCAAAGTATGATACACCGATTTATCTCTTCTGGAACGCACTAATTAATAGACCCCGAAAATTATGGACCCCGAAAATTATTAATCTTGGCTCGGGCTCCGGACATTTCTAAGACAGCTACGACCGTTTCCGGATCCGGGCTAGCTCCTTTAACCATACCCTGTGCCGGCGTCATCTTATAAGAAAATGAAAAATTAATTACAGATGAAGGAAAATTTCTTTTCATCTTAGCAGTTTCTCCCATTTCAATAACTGTTACAGCTTCAACTTGGTGATTATTTCCATTTTCTTGATCAAAAGAAAACAAATCAGGCCAAGGGACAGCTCCAAGGAAAATTGGTTCATCTATATAAATTCAAATAAATTATGCCAACATTTATGTTTTACCAATATCTAAATTTGCTGAAATGCCTGGACAGGAAAATTCAGTTCGGAGTGAATCAACTGAGATGAATCCTTAAAAATTAAAAAAATTCAATTTGAAAATTATCCAAATTTCTTTAAAAATCCAATCCACCTTTACGTCCTCCCCTTTCCATAACTACGCTATGCCATAAGCCATCGTTCAGGGATTTAGCAGAGGCCTTAAAAATTTGATAAGAAGTTTAAATTTTTAATCAACTCTTCATTCAAAATTTAATTATTACCTGTAGTCGAATATCGCCAGATCCCAGATTTACTATCATCTTAAAACTGCCTTGATTTACTTAATTTAAATTTTATCTCACAAATAAATGCCCATCAATCAATTCAAAAGCCAGATAATCACATATTGTAAAATTCCTGCATTGTGCCATTCCATGATATAAAATTAATCCATCAGGGGTCAGTGTTCGAAATTGGAAGGCTTAAAGCATTTATTATTTACAGCAAAGGATACTGTATAGGGTATGAAATTAGTTTCGAATCTCTCATCAAATCTCGGTATCTCTCACTATCTCTCATTCTTATTCCTCTCTCCCTCTATCTGTCACTCTTATCTCACTCACTTTGATGTCTCTACTCTCTTTCTGAAAGCTCCTTTATCAGAACCGAGATTTTTCTTGAACCTTGTACGATTCACAAGCGATACTAGTCTCAATTTATAAAATAATAAAAGGGCATTTAAAAAGCACTTGAAGAAATTTTTTTTCTTTATTAGATACATTTAACGCTGTATTTTGATTTTTAAAAACAATATTTCTCCAAAAAACAAACCTAAAGTTCCACGGGACGGAGAACGCCAGGGAGGTAATTTAGTATAATTATTTCCATTATTAAAAGAAAAAATTAAAGGAGCATTTTGAGCACTTGGCATACAAGAGAATGTAAGGTCGCCAAATGTTTGTACTTAAAAAATTTTATATGATTAAATTTTAATTGAAATATTATGTTATTTATCACTTTTATTATACTTTATTAATAAAATTTTTACTAAATTAATATAATTTTTATTCAAAAAACGCACCATTAGATTGACCAAATCCTTGATCTGCCAATTGTATTAAATTTAGTTCGACAGGACCCGATTGAAAAAATATCTGAAAGTTTGGTTAAATATCAAGTTACTTTTAATGATAATTTGGAGAATTAAAAATAAATATTATTAGATATTTATGTCTAGTAGTTATTAGCGATCATTCTTGATCGAGATCTGATTATTTCTTATGCTTGATCAGTAATATTTAAATCCATCATTGTTATTCTTGTATTTACTCTTGTAATAAACATATTATTCTATTCTTGTGATATTCTGTGATAAATTGAGCTAGGTGCTATTCTATGACAATTATTCCGTAGACCGACACTATTCTTTATAAAAACACCTTCTTTAGGCATCCACGAAAGGGTAATAAATGCTCTGGCGGCATTAAATGTCTCAAAGATTGAGGCACACCTCCAACAAAAAAGAACGAATTTCCTAGCCATTTTAATCGCGGCGTGAATTGTAAAACTTTCTGATCAAAAATTTCATCAACAATTAGACGAATCTTTAAAAAAATTAATCTTAAATTAAATAATTATCAAGGAAAATGAAAGAAAAATTTTTTTAAGAAAAATAAATGCCTAGAAAGGCCACAGCAAATAAAAGTTTCAAAAAAGTTTGATTAAGATAAAAAAAGATTTTAAAAAATATAAGTGCTCCTTAACAGAATTTCTTGATTTTTAATACTGCAATACAAAAACGGAAACTGAAAAATAGTTTTTAGTGAATTGTCGGCAGACCTACCGAAATGACAGCACCTTTAAATCCAGGCTAGAATTTAAGATTTAGAAATTTAAATATTGTAGTTGAGGAAATGTTTGCCGTAAGGCCTCTAATATCTAAGGGTGAAGGATAAAAAAACGTTCGTATATCCGAAATTTTTGCTTCTCTATCGGTTCCTGATCTGGATATTCGAAGATTTTCAAATATCAACACTTAATTAAGTGTCCTGATTGGCCTGAGAGTAAATATCTTTATATGAAATAATTAAATACCGTATCCCTGTAATATTACTGCCCTTTGTAGGTGTGTTGAATAATAGTACTCCCCTCTGAATTAGTACTCCCCTGTAATGATACTCCCTTCTAAAATAGACACCCCTATATCTGAAAAAACTATAAAAGAGCAATAGTACTCCTGGATACTATTTCAGGAAATACGGTATATTCATTCCAATTATGAAGTATAAGAAAGATTAAGGAACGGACTCTTTGTCCTCTCATGATCAGCGAAATCTTTTTAACAATTCTCATTTCTATACAAATCCCAAAATTTATACCTACAGAATTCAATTCTCTAATAACACAAACACTGTGCCATAAATTATTATCAAAACGTAAAGGCAGTCGTTGGTTACGATCTTGAACTCGAATAAGGCGTTTGTCAGTTTCTGCTAATTGGTGAGTTGCTAGAAGTTCTCCATTTTCAATTGTTAATTTAAAATTACTCTTGATTTAATAATAATTATAAGTAAATTTTTTTATTTTTATAAAAATATTTTCACTTTCTACAACTTTCTACAACCTTTCCAAATAATAAATAAAACTAGAAGTTCCATGGATTTATAGCCATTCCCACCTAAATTGAGAATACCGACCCTCAAGGATAGTGATTCGGGAATCGTGGTTTGTCGGGGAGGACATGTCGTGGTTCCAGGCTTTTTGCCAAAAAAATCGCCAGGGTGGAGATTCGGGGCAAAATGTGCTACACTATGATAGACTAACATTTTCACAAATTTATTATCAAAGTAATGTATTTCGGTAACGATCCCCATAAATTTGCTTTTCTCTAAGATGATGCTTTATAAAAGTGGTCGTTCCAATTCAGAGAAGGGCTGTGTTAATGTCCCATTTTTTATTTTCATTTAATCCTCCACATAAATATTTAAAAATATACCTTAGAATCCCCAGCAACAAAAAGAAGAGAATTTTTAGATAAATTGGCTCTAAAAGAGATATTAAAAATTTCTCGTTGACTCAAAACAGCCAAAAGGTCTTCATCATTAATTCCATTATTATTCCCTTCATTGTGTAAATTATCATAGCCTATCCATTCATTCCCAAAAAATGATACTTCTGTGCTTGGCTTTTCTATAAAAATTAATTTAATAGTAAAGCAGCGGGCTATAGCTATTTCTCTCCTTTAGCTAGTGCAAAAGGTTATTCGGCGGCTGGGAGCGAACCAGCATCTTCAGAGACCGGACTGATGTGTTAGCCATTACACCACGCCGCCTACTGCTCAGCATTAGGAAATTAATAGCTATATGCTTTACATAATGCAGCTAAATATTTTTAATTAAAGATCTGAGTTTTTATTTCTCAATAGGTATCTTTTTGTGAGCTTATATTATATCTCTATTAGATGGGCTTGACACAGGCTTTATTTAAAAATTATAATCTAGATTAAATTCTCTCACTATTTTCACATCTTCTCCCTTCATAATCTGAATAAAAACAATCACAACGAGGACCATTATTTGCACTATAACACAATCCAGAATTTAAACAAAAATTATTTTCATCTTTTGATTTGATATGTTTTGAATTGTGTTCTCTAAAGAAAAATTAGTTTAAGAATGAAATTATTATATTAAAAATAATGTTTTTAAAAATTATTTTGGGGCTTGTGGCTTAAGGAAATTATGTCCTAGAATTGTTAATTATTTGAAAATCTAGAATCGACAAGAAATTTCCCGAACCATTAACCCTAGTTGAGTTCCTTATCTTATTACAGGGTTTAATCTAAAATAATTCCTATAAAAAATTGTAGATTTCGATTTACAACACAAATTAATATTAACTTATTTTACAGTTATCATATTTAAAATTAAGTTAAATAAGTTTAAGAACAATTACTTCAAACAATAATTATCGTCAGTTTTTCGAGTACCAAAAGAGTCAATCATTAAAGGTGCAGCCATTCCTTGTGGATATATTCTATACATTAAATTACGAATCAAGCCAGCAAATCTTTTAGAATATCTTCTTAATGGAACGCTGAGTTTTTCGACATCCTTTTTAATTTTTGAGAAATTTTTAAAATAATTTTTAATTTTTTATTAATCCTCTAATACTTCAAAATTTAACTCCATGATAGAACTCCATATATTTTGATTTATACATACATAAGCCACTAGGGATTTATTTTCTTTTCTGGAATAAGATGTTAGCTTGTATTGAATAAATGCTTCTAATAGAGCCGGGTTTTAATTAGAGCATCCACGGTTCTTCTACTTTTGTTTATTTATTTTTACATGTATGAAAAATAGTAATTTTGTCCTTTGTCCAAAATATTCCTAACATCATTTAGTGTCGTCTTTTTCACAGCTAATTCCAAAAATATAATCCCTAGTGGTTTTTTTATGTAAATATAGTCCAAAAAGTGTGAAAAATAGTCCAAAAATGGAAAAAATAACAAAACAAAATTTTGTTTTTTGGATTAAAAAATATTATTTTGGATATTTTTGGAATATTTTAAATCTTTTTATTTTAAAATTATAAAATTATTTTTAATTTTGCTAATCCTCCTCCCCAAAATCCCACGATATACTTCTTATTCTTAAATCTGGGATATCAGGAGATTGAAGGTATTAAGGAGGATATAAAGAGAATATTCTCAGAATATTCTCGAGAAATATCCTTAATAAGTTTTAAAATCATTATTTTACTTTAGGTATGCCACCAACAAAAATATCAGAATTTGTTCGAATATTTCCAAGCATAAAACTTTTTTGTTTGTCTAATAAACAAAATACAATTTCGTCGTCAAGTTGAATTTTAATATTCTCCCAAGCCTGGCATAAAAATATATTTAATTATAAAGATAAGGAAGGTTGATATGGCATGATTATGTTTATGGATTGGGATTTGTGTGGGTATAAGAACTAATATCTAATAAGAGATGAAGATCTGACTCTTAATTTCTTGATAGCTTCCCTATATCCATTTTAGGAATCTAGCCGACCCGATTACTGAAAATCGTAAATTCCAGACGTTTTTTGGGTAGGAAATCCCCATTCCCGATTTTTTTGAAAAATCGGGAATTTTTGGTAATTTTTCCACTATATTTCTCAAAAATGTTTTTATTTTTCATCAATTTGGCTGCCATAAAGGTAAATTTATGGCCTATGAACACTTTAGGATTAAAAATGAACCCATTTACCCCTCTTAACCACCTCCTTAAAATTCCAAGATATCCTTCTTAAGCTCTAAGCATGATATAATATATTTAATTGAAAACTAAGGAGGATATCAAGTGTACTAATTCAACCCAAAACCGACTTTTTTCCTACCCATCTCTGATATGATTATTTATTTATTTACTTGAAATAAGGTAAAATAATGCCACTTTTCATCATCTACTTTAGTCTCCGACAAATAAATATTGTGCCTTTTGGGTGGAATAATTTCAATTTCTCCAATTCTGAATTCAACGAGGATATAACTTTCCAGTATACTAATTATAAGAAAATTGTGATTAATTGCCCCTAATAAAGAAAAATTAAATAAAAGAAATTATTTTTGAGAGGTGATTGAGTGTGAAAATCCTAAGGAATTTAAATTAATAGGCAATTTTGTACTTGAGTTCGGGCTTTAACTTACCCCTAATAAGGTCCATGACATAATTTTTATTTTTGCTAAAAAACTTTTCTGTCATATTAGGTTTATGTGTTTGAATCATCATCTAATTTTATCATCATCATCTATTATCTACCTTTTGGTAGTGTGGGGAAAGTGTGGGGGGGGGGGGGTAAATAATAATAAAATTTAATGAGTATTTTTATTGAAAAATTAATTATTATTTTTAGTTAATTCACCATCGTCAGTGTAAAAAATTATTGCGTTTGATTGATGCGTTTTAAATTCAAATTTAATTTCATTTTCGAATGTCTGAGCCCATTTTGGATATCTAAATTATACTTAATTTTCTCCTTTTATTCTAAAAGACCTAGCAAAAGATTCACGACCTCCAGACAAAATTAGCGCTTTAATTGATGAAATAGACACCATAATTAATAGAATTAAAAAGGTTACTAAATAATTATTTTGAGCAACAATTAAAATTTTTAACATGTGAATATTCCCCCTAAAAATTAAAAAAATTAGCTCATGTTCAGATTAGCGTTCAATGGTATTTTTTCAAAGGGATAGGGAGTGGGGAACGTATCTAATCAAATTTTATGCGCCCAATCACATTTTTAATTACCTGGTCTTTCATTTTAGAACAATGGTCCGGTATCTTGCGGGTCTAACATAATTCCGGGTGAGAAGAACTCTCTATTCCCTTATATTTAATGGTACTGAAATGAAGAACCGGGTACTTAAAAAATGCGATTTGAATTTTATTGGATGCGTAAACAATTCATTGGACACATAAAGGTTGATTGGACGCGTAATGTTGACAAGAGCCAAAAATATTTCGAAATTAATTTTAAAAATTAATAAAAATAATAGTAACACTCAAAAATTATTTAAAACACACTAAAAGCATACTAATATTTATGCCTAGCCAGAAAAAAATAAAAAGCTTTTTGGCTAGTAATAATTGTTGTTTTTCTAGCAACCTAGTAGTAAAGAGAATATTATTTAGAGAGTTATATATGTATTTAAGGGGCAGGTGAGGAATTATTTATTTGAAAGGGTATAAAGTTGGAATATTTTTGAGGTAAATACATATGTGTTGAATATAGGTCATGCGTTAAAAATTATTTTTAAAAATTAAATAAGAATATTTTAAATGAAAAAATAAAAAAAAGATAAAAAATATGAAGCTTATCCAGAAGTGATTTTATTTTATTTTTTCAAATTTTATTTGTGTTCGATAAAGGAAAAATATCAGAAAAATTACCTACCAACTTAAAGAACATTCAATAGTCATACATACATTTTAAATTTAAATTAGATATAATTAGTCCTCGACCCTTGATTCCCCCGACACCCCAATCATCTCGACGAATATATTTAGGCTTTACACGATTGAGATCCCCGATAGTCCTTCTCTAACTCCAAGTTCCTCGAAAATAAAACGGGCCTATTTTAAATTAAATCAGTGTGGTGCCCGACCCCAAAGACACATAGACAGTCTATTTTCAGACATCTCTGTTCATTGAAATTGTAAAAATCATTTGGCCGTTTAATAAAAAATAATAATAAAAAAAAAAGACAAAATTACAATAAAAAATTCAATTTTAATTTAATTTTGCAAGAAAACAAAACTAGATATCGTCCAAAAAATAAATATTGTTTATTATAAAAAATTCAAATTTAAAATTATTAAAAATTTTTTATATACATATTTTTAATAAAAAATTCAAAACCAACATAGGTAAATATTAACCAAAATAAATAAATAATATCAATTTCAAAGTCAATATGTCCAACCATTTTAGGCAAACATTGACTACATTTTGGGCGCGTGAGATTTTTTAAAAGGCAAAAATGGTTGAGCCGTTGGATAAAAATAAGGCTAGAATTGGAGAAAAGAGTACATAGCTGAGGAAACAATTTTTAGAAAAAAAATTTTTTTAATAAAAATAAATTTTATTATAAAAATGAAGGTAAGAGTTATTTAATTGAAATATTGAGAAAATAATTAAATAAAAATTAAAAATAATGGAAATTGTCTGAACAAAGAATAGATAAGTTAATTAAGGTATCGAGAATTTGATATATGTAGTACAAAATTAAATAAAGGAATTTTATTTAGATATATAGAATCTACCGCCATAAAAAAAGATTACAGATTTCGGAATCGAAAATTTACAACTAAAAACTATTAAATTGCTTTTCCATATAAAATTAAACAGTTTTTTGCCAAAGTAATTTTATGCGCAATTTGTGGTTGGGTTAGCTAGATAGGGCTAAAAAATGCACAAAAATAAAGAAGGCCAAAGATAATTTTTTGAGTAAACTTTAGAAATATGTATGTATAAAAATAAATTTACGTTTCAAAAAGAATAATATTAAATAAATAATTTTTTAAATTAAAAAAAATTTCCTCATGTATTTAATAACTAATATTTTTATATCTACATAATTAAAAAACAAAATTTAAAAATTAAAAATAAATATTAAAATAAATTTATAAATTAATATTTGACAAAATTATTTAAAAAATTTAACCCAATAAAAAATTTTTTGGCTTAATTTAAAATTTTGATTGCTTAAATTTTTAGCTCATTTTTGCCTTATTCTTTTCAAATCTTCATCTCTTTATGTTTTGGATTTTTAGTTTTTTTTCTTTTTAAAAGGACAATTTCCATCAAATGCAGTTTTGTCAGCTGCGAGGGGGAGTGCGTGGGAGAGGGAAGGGAAAAGAAGGGAGGGAATTCTGGGCGGCATGGGAACCGGAATGAGCTTTTTCTTATTTTTTACTCCACTTCCTTTAAGTTTCTTCCGTCCCTTCGGGAAAACAAATTTTTGGAAGAAATCAAGTTTGGACAAAGCTTTTTGGTGTTTATGATTAGTTTTTATGCTAGTTTATAATGCTGTTTGTTTATTTTAAAAAATAAAAAGAGAATTGAATTTTCTATACTTTTAGTTTAGATAATTATTAATTTTTAAATATTATCTATGGGAAAAGCGAAATTTTAAAGAAAAAAAATTAAAATTTGAATTTCCGAGGGCATATTTTGAAATATTTTATTTTTTATTTTAACTTTTTGGATAGATCGGATTTAAAACTAAAATTTTGATATTTTATGCCAAAATCTAAGAGTTATTGTGAAATTTTAAAAATCGAAAACGAAACTTTTTGAAAATGAGTGATTTTTTAAAAATAAAATATTTACTCAGTTTTAGAAATTTCTATCTGTTTGATTTTATCTGGTTAAAAATATAATATTTGAGAAGATACATAAAACTAATAATCACAGTAAATAATAAAAAAATCGGGCAATTTTAAATAAAGATATGATATATTTATATGTATGTTGCTAAAAATCTT